CACTAGTCATGATTTTATAGACCTCTATCATACCCCCTCTTAGTCGTCTCTTTTCCAAGCTGAACAGTCTGTCTTCTTAATCTACTCATATGGAAGCTGTTCCATACCCCTAATCATTTTTGTTACTCTTCTCCGTACCTTTTCCAATTCTAATCTATCTTCTTTGAGATGGGGCAACTAGAACTGTGGGCAGTATTCAAGATAATACTTAGTCCTGCCTTGAGTGCAGGGGACTGGACTAGGTGGCTTCTTGAGGTCCCTTCCAGTTCTATGATTCTATATGGGAATACCACAGATTTATATAATGACATTGTGATATTTTCTGTCTTCTTATCTATTCTTTTGCTAATGGTTCCTAACATTCTGTAACTTTTTTGACTGCCGCTGCACAATGAGCAGATGTTTTCAAAGAACTATCCATAATGACTCCAAGATCACTTTTTTGAGTGATAACAGCTAATTTACACTCCATCATTTCATATGTACAGTTGGGATTATGTTTTCCAATGTGCCTCACTTTGCATTTATCAACATTGCATTTCATCTGTCATTTTGTTGCCCAGTCATCCAGTTTTGTGAGATCCCTTTTTAACTCTTCACAATCTGCTTTGGACTAAACTATCTTGAGTAATTTTTTTTATCGTCTGCAAACTTTGCCATCTCACTGCTTACTCTTTTTTCTAGATCATTTGAGTATGTTGAATCGCATTGGTCCCAGTACAGGCAATATTCATTACAATGTGTCACTGGTTAATCAAGTCAGGGAACCACATGCCATGGGTTACGGCAAGATTCAAACGAGCCCTGCTGTTCATTACCTTACATGTTGTGGGGTAATTTACACATGTGCAAAGTCAATGTAAAACATTACCTGATTTTGTGGGGGGAGGGCAAAGAACCGTCAGGCTCAAAAAATCCCTCTATGTACAATCTTGGGGGTTTTTTTACCCTGAACTCCTCAGAATGAAAGGCACTTTCATGCCTCATTCATACATGGCTGACAGCTTCCAATGGCACACTGTCACATGCCAGGTACTGTGAAATACAACATTTGTCAGAGATACAACCTGTGCATAGTGAATGAGACACGCGTGTGAGTTCACCTTTCCCTCATTGCAGGAAACATTACAGAGTAAAATGTACTCTGATGTGAACCACTCTTCTATGTCAAGAGTTTAAGGTCAGAAAGACCCACTCGATCATCTAGTCTGACCTCTTGTATATTGCAGGCCACCAACACCCACACACCCACACACTAAATCCAACAACCGAAATGAGATGACCAAAGTCTTACGGCCCACAGGAGACTAGACTATTCTGTGCCACAGGCAGAGAATAGGAGGGACCGAGGTGCACCAGTGCTCAAGGCCTCCATGTCATTATGTACTGACCTCTGTAATAGCATGGAGATAGATTATGACATGTAGGAGACCAAGCTTATGTGTAAATTCAAAAGATCACACTAGGACCTTTACATTTAGACCTTGTCCCCGGGGGTATTAGACCTGATTTCAATTGTTGGTATAGCTGCATCATAGAGTGGACAAGGAAAGCTGCACTTTGCATTGGTAGAGCTTAACCCTGCCTGGAACCAAAAAAGGGTCAAACTTACTTTCCTTTCTAGCACTTGGGGTTTGCAATGGTACAGCTATGCCGATGGCTGAAATTGAGGCTAATTTCCAACGTAGAGAATCTGATATTGTGACTTTTTTGTTGTTGTGTGAGTACCCATGTTAGACCCTTCCCCAGAAGGACTATGCCCAGTATTTACAAATGCAGGTGCCTGAATATAGGCTTCTAAATCCATATTTAGGCACTGATATAAAAAGAGCCTGATTTTTTTTTTAAGATGCTGAGCACCTGCAGCACTTTTTGATCAGCACTTTTGAAAATCAGGCCATTTATCTTTAGGCACCTAAAGATAATGCAGCACCTAAATATAGATTGAGGAAGCTAATTTAGGCACCTAGCTTCAGAAATTTGGGTTTGTATTCCTGCCTTTTCATCCCTTATGTCAGAGTCAGATGTCAGGGCTCCTGCAAAACCACAATAACCTCATGTCCGTGATCTATGTTGTTGGATATAGAAGTAAAAACAATAACTATAACAAAGAACAATTGCAAAGATTCTGAGAAACCCCCTTTTTGCGTGTGCAATCAGATTGGAAAGTAAGTGTGTGTGAAAGAGAGAATTTAGTGATGTGAAAAACATCTTTGTACATTGTAAAATTACATGTAAAACATGGACATGTGTTATAAAAATATTAACTGCTACGCATTACAACATACACTGCACATAGATCACTAAGGCGTCACCATCATCAAGTTCACCCAAAACATTAACAACGTATCAGGTCAGCTGAAATACATCCGGGTTGTCAATCTGAAGCCAGGCCACAATCAGGGTGTGGAATAACCCCAGCACACCACTCCCTTCTACCCCTCCACTCTGTGCTTGTGAGATTTCAAAACTGCCAGTTTAGCCTGCCCAGGTAAAAAAAAGTTGGTGCAGCAGAAGACAGGTCATGTGCAAGCATTGTATGTCCCTTCCAGAATAAACTGGGGCCTGGAGAAAACCTGACAAAGGCAATGAGTTGCTGCCACAAAAAAATCAAAAAGAGGAATCGAATGGGAGGAAATGGAGGAAAAAATGAAATACCCTATCTGAAGCCAAACAAAAGGGGCACTGTGCAGACACCTGCGGGGATGTGGCTCATAAAGTGATTGGCTGCTGTAATGCCATGCAAGATCCATCACTGAAAGACTCCCGGGTGCTTAGGGATAATTTAGTGACACCTCTTCTCTGCAAGGTCTGTGGTATATTATTTGGATGAATGAGGAAGCTCTGTCCAGCCTCTGTTAGTAATTCTTGGTGTGAGTCAAATCTCTTAACCAATGGGCTCAAGCTTTCTGTTGTTTTTTTCTCTCTTGATCTCCTTGCATTGCAACATTAGCTTGTTACGAAAGCAGTTCACAATGTCCTCAGCTTTTCACAATGTCACCGATACGCTACCAGGATCAATCCATTTTTGTTGAAAAAAATGGCTATACAGTCTATTGGAATTTTTAAGATGCTAAGCCATTAAGCAGCTATTCGGAGTTTTGTTTTGTTTTGTTTTGTTTTTCCCCTTAAGACTTAAATTAGAGATCAAGAAACCTATGATTTAGATCAAGCCACAGAGGGTCCTGTGGCACCTTTAAGACTAACAGAAGTATTGGAGCATAAGCTTTCATGGGTGAATGCCCACTTCATCAGACGCAAGGACCCTCTGTTGCTTTTTACAGATTCAGACTAACACGGCTACCCCTCTGTTACTATGGTTTAGATGATACTAGAGGGGAAACCCTTCCTCTCTTCTTGCTTTTCTGCCAGGTGTTATCACCACTGCTAACACTGAACCTGCTGTCCCAAGCATCCCTGGCTAAAGCACCCTAAAAACAATTCCTCCTGCTTAGAAACGTCCTCACAGATGATGAGCCAGAGAGCTGTTGTCCTGCAAACAACCACCTGGGTATTAGGCACTTTTCTCTTGGCCTCAGAAACAGCACAAAAGAATTCTCTGCTCTTATGCAATGTGTGGTATGCGGCTATATTTTTGGAGAGCTTTTTCTGGAGTATTGTCCTTACTGTAGCCTCGGTTGGGTTGTTATTCATGAACGGGCTGGTAATTACTGTCTAATTTTAGGAAATTCATTTGTTAGGTGTATGGATCTTCTAGTCCAATGTTTCTCAACAACCGGTGCATGGACCTGCGCTGGTCCCTGAGATCCCCCTGACACAGTTTAGGAAGGCTGCAACTGCAAGCCAGCCCCTGGTATCACAGAGGTTGACAAACACTGCACTAGTGCTCTCTGTAGCAGGAGATTGCAGTTGTGATCTGTTCCCCCTTTCCCCAGTTGTGGCTTTCCTCAGCTGATCTATGGGGCAGTCGCTGCTTGGGAAGCTAAATTTAGATTAGTGCAAATGGGGGGATATACTGTACTCTGTTTAAACCCCCACCACCACCACTCACCCACCCACCCACATACTGGAAACAAAGTAACTGAGGCGTCAGGGTTGTAATACAGGGCGCTGAGGGACAGAGCAGGGCTGGGACAGGCACAGTGATCAGGGAGGGGAACACACACACCACCACTTCACAAAATAGAAACCCAGAGCCCCTTTGACCTCGCCCTCCCCATGTCCGCTGGAGAAGCGCCGCTGGGGCTGAGAGAGCGAGAGACTGCCCTGCGCTTTGCCGGACTCCCGTCCCAAGCAGAGGTCCCGGCAGCCAGCCCGCAGCTGCAGCTCCCAGGCACCGCATCTCTGCAAGCCACGGGGCGAGAAGCGGAGCGTGCACCAGCCTGGCGTGGCTCGGGAGATGTTCAAATGCAGCAGCAGCAGCAGCAGCCTCTTGCCGCCAGAGCGAAATTCCCTAGAGGTGAATGGGGGGATCCCAGGCAACCCCGCTGGAGGGTCTCCCCCCATGCCCTCCCCTCCCCCGCTATTAATTCCCGCGGATCATTCATGTCTCTCTCACACACACAAGCACCAGTCCTCTGCCTCGTGTGACCCTGCTGGAAAACGCTCTAAAAACAGTGCCCCCTCCCCTTAGCCATTTCCACCCCCCCCCCCTTCTCCTGCTCCACCGCCGGGGCACATGGTTAGCGGGGCTCTCCCTTGGGCAGCTGCACGGGAACAGCACACAGGGGTGGAGGGGCGAGGGAGCGCTCCGGCACTGCAGAGCGAGGACGGATCCCAGCACAATGCCAGCGCTTCCGTGGCGAAAAGGGGGCCAGGAAGGGGGGCGATGCTGCTTAGCTGGGGGAGCGAGAGGGGGGAAATAACCCGGGCGCCACCCTGTCCCCCGGGCCCCTCCACACACACACGCGAGCACCCCACGGATCGATATTTGGCTGCCTTGCTGCAACTTGCTGCAGTCTTGCAAAGGAGTAGTGGGAGTGAGAGGGGGGGGGAAAGGGGAAACTGGCAGGAAGGGGGCAAGGAGCCACACATGTCACATGTGCTTTCTAAGCCGCCCGGGAGCATCTGCAAGCTGGAGCTGGCGGAGGATGCTGCGGCAGGTGATCCACAGAGGGCTTCAGTCGTTTTGCTACAAGCTGGGCTTGTTCGTGAGCAGGCACCCGGTGTTTTTCCTCACCGTGCCCGCAGTCCTGACCATCATCTTCGGCTTCAGCCTGCTCAACCGCTTCCAGTCTGAAAGGGACCTGGAGACGCTGGTAGCCCCCAGCCACAGCCTGGCCAAGATCGAGCGGAGCTTAGCCAGCAGCCTTTTCCCCCTGGAGCAGTCCAAAAGCCAGCTCTATTCGGACTTGCACACCCCGGGCAGGTATGGCAGGGTGATCCTCCTCTCCAAACCTGGAGGCAATATTTTGCATCAGGCTGATGTGATCCTGCAGATCCACCGAGCCGTGCTGGAAATGAAGGTGAACTACAAAGGCTATAATTATACTTTTTCCCATCTGTGTGTGTTGAGAAATCAGGATAAGAAATGCGTGCTGGATGATATTATTTCAGTGCTAGAGGATCTGAGGCAGGCTGCCCTCTCCAATAAGACAACAGCCAGGGTGCAAGTGAGCTATCCCAACACTAAATTAAAGGTATGCTCTTACTGCATGCTTTTGCCAATTAAAGAGGCAGCACTTCATTTCTTGTCCTAAACAGCAAAGAGGGAACAAAAATATGAAGCATTAAAACGGATGCATTTCCTTTTCGGGGGGGAGGCTGTGGGTTGAAGGGAACTAATGATGAGAAGCATTAAATGAAGGAACCACTGTGAGACCCTGCCCTAGTATCTTTAAGGATTAATCCATCAAAGCAAGGTGTGGGGGCGGGGGATCTATAACAGTTTGTGGGGATTGGTCATTGAGAGCTGGGGTGCAAATGTATCTTTATTCCCTATCTACAGTCTCAGCTGGCATGCCAGAATCATGGCCAGAGAAGGGTTTCCTCAAATACATAGTAAGCTCTTGTCTCTCACTGACTCTGTATGTGTGGTAGGAACAGCAGAGTGATTCCAGGTGTGATTCCAGTGTCCTGGCTTTTCTTCTTCTTCTTTACCTGCATGCATAGGAGGGGGTGGACATTTTCTCCCAGTGTGAAAATAATTAGCACTGCCACTGACTGATGGGCTGGACTATTGGATGGATCCCATCAACAAGAGGTTTCCAGCAAAGGCAAAAGAAGGCAAAAGGCTAACTAACTTTCAGTCTTGCCAATGGAAGTAACATACACTCAGCACAAAACACGGGACCATTTTAATGCTACCTCCCCCCCCCCCCATAGTGTTTTCACCTCTGGTGGGTTTTCTAGGCTGGTCGCCGATTCGTAGAACTTGTGTGCTCAGAGCAAACAAGACGTAAAGTCTTCAGGAGGCTGGTGAGAGAAGTTTCAGGGATTACTGCAAATGTGACTCCTCCAGGATGCATTGTATTATTTGCAGGAGTTACCTAGTCAAGTTTCACAGACTTACCTAGTGCATAGTTACTCATGGGTCAGGTGTAATCCCACAAAGGGAAGATAATGTCTTACCGTCTTTCTTCTAAGACGTTGAGGCTTCTAGTGGATTTTTGTTTCTGCCTTTCATTGGAAGACATTAGGGTGACGAGATGTCCCGATTTTATAGGGACAGTCCCTATATTCTTGGCTTTATCTTATATAGGCACCTATTACCCCCCACCCCGTCCCGATTTTTCACACTTGCTAACTGGTTACCCTAGAAGACATGCATCCTGGGGTGTGGAGGATGGTAGAGATTTTGTAACTACTGGCCAGACCCTGAAGTTATTACTCTGCCCTTACTTTTTATTTCTTATTTATTGATAACTATACAAGGCACAAAGGTAAGAACAGTCCTTGCCCCAAAGAGTTTATAGTCGGAAAAAGCAGCAAAGAGTCCTGCGGCACCTTATAGACTAACAGACTTATTGGAGCATGAGCTTTCATGGGTGAATACCCACTTCGTCGGATGCATGTGTCTGAAAGAGAGATGTAGATTTGCCTTATTGGGTGTTTTGTTTCAGTAAAAAATGAGTGACTATCTAAGGATTTGGTTCAACACCGTCTCCTGTGTCAAAAAAATGTTTCTTAACAGGAGAGAGGTGGTCGTTGGAGTTGAATTAGGGTTGTGTGAAGTTGAAAAAATGTCCTTCTTTGTGTAAGCGCTGCTCTGAGAGAACCCTGGGACATCTAACTGAGTGTGGCAGAAGGAGTTCAGGGTGATCTGCTGTCTCTCTTTCCCAGAAGGTGTCCAGAGTTCCTGCTCTAAAAATAAATAAGGAAAAAAATAAAAATTGCCATCTGCTAGTGGCTGAACCAAATACATGTAATGGATGAATTCTAAACACCGGTAAGGACTTTCGCAGAGCCGAAAGGCCTGATCCTGAGAGATGCTCCGTACCTGCCAAGCATCTCCAACTCCCAAGGAAGTTGCCAGGTGCTCAGCATTTCTCAGGTGAAGGAATTTATGCTCCTTAGTCTCTAGCTTTAAACTTCAACAGGGCAGGTGCTTTCTATCCACTCGTCAGTACATGGCTGTGGGAAACCAGAATCCCTGACTGACTGTATTAGAATAAAGTGAATTAATTATTGTAATTGCTTATTTGTATTACTGGAACTCTGAAAAATCCACTTGGACTAACTACTGTGGAAGAAGAGCGTTTCCAGTGTTTCTGAGAAAGCTTTAAACAATCTTTCGTGGGCAAAGTTCATGGTCCCTCAGAAGTGCAGTTTGTCAGTGCTCGTTTTCTTTCTCACCAAGGGCTGGGTTGTAATCTCCAGCCTGCCCTGGCTGAGGGATGGTGCATCGCTGTGCCATCCCAGGAGCAAACTAGGGAGGTGGTGGACTCCGAGCCATAATTCCTCCTCTGCCACCTTGTGCTTTAGTAGGCACTTCACCCCCTTTCATGGAGCAACTTATTCCTCTACTGTGTGCCCTTTGGCCAGCCGGTAAAATGGGAGAAAAGCCAGCTCCTACTCCCTATGCCTCCTTTACGCCCTCCCTACTCACTGGCTTGCAGTGGGGGAGTATTGACTGAGTAGCCACTGCTGCCCACTCTGCCCATGGCCAGAGTCACAATCTGAGCAAGGCTGATTTGGGACCAGCAGTGCCTTTGCTCCCTCCGACTCCCCGGCACATTGGAGGAAGGGCTGGGACAATCTAGCCCTCTGAGGATAGTTCTTGAGTGGTCAGCATGTGTTTACAAACAAATACTTTGTACACTGTGTCCACTTAGCTAGATCACTGCCTGGATGTTCAGCGTGGGAGAACAACGCCCTAGGGGCCTGGTCCCATTGTGATTATCTAGCCCATTGGCAGAGGGCTGGGCGGGGGTGTCTATTTTTTTATTGCTTTTCACTGAAACAGTGAAGTAAGCAGTCTGTGATGTGACCCAGCTTACCGAATACAGAACAATGGAGAGCTAAACCCCTCACTCCACACTGGATCCTGCTCCCCTGTTGTACTCACAGCCCAGCTTTCTACTCCTGTAAATTTCCAGTGCAGCCAATGAAGCTGAAGCCAAAGGGAGAAAGGACATTAGGTTTTAGCCCCATTGGTGCCAATGGACTTTTCCCTGGGCAGTGATTACAGGTAGGGCTCTGTGATCACTCCTCAGATGGGCCAGATCGCTTGTAAGAATTATACCACTTATCTGTGAACCGGAAAGATGTCCCCAGTGACTTTATTCTGATGCCGCCAAGAGGTGTGTGCCAGCCCGAGTTTGCCTGAGAACTTGAATGATGATCTTACTCAGATGCAAGCAGCATTTGGTTTTGTCAGAGGGCTTCAGTGGTCCCTGTAATCTCTCTCAAACAGACCCTTGTGAACAGCACAAATTTTCATCCCTTTCTATCGATGAATCTAGCCTCCAAGACTGAGCTAAGGGATGACAATGAGCCAACTCTTGTTGGCTTCAGCAGTAGTTTTGTGTGAGTAACTTGAGTGGGATTTTGCTCCGTCTCAGTGACCCAGCTGTTCTGGTCTGTCTGTTCTGGAAGCAGCTGGGTAAAATTGTTGAGAAGGAGCACCAGACGGCCTGGGAAGTACAACCAAAGAGCTGAGATTTTCCTATGCAATTGCTTGCGTGAAGTTGTTTTTATGTGTCCGCACCCTTACTGTAGTATCTGAGGGCCTCACATTCTTTAACATATTTATTCTCCTCACAACACTTCCGGCAGACAGGGCAGTGTGATCATCCCCATTTTACAAATGGAGAACTGAGGCACTGGGAGACTAAGGCCCAGATCCCAATGGGACTTAGGCGCCTACATACCTTTGAGGATCTGGGTATAAGTGAGTTGCCCAAGCTCACACAGGAACTCTGTGACAGAGCAGGAAATCAAACCTGCATCTCCTGACTCCCACAGGAAGCAGCCGTTGTCCCAGTTAACTTCCTTTCCCAATTAGGAGAAGGAGCAATTAAAAATGTCGGAGAATATTTAAAAGGAAATAAAATATTAAACTGGATAGAAATACACGCAAGGAATGTTATTTCTTGTACTTCATTGTTTTCTTTGAATCTTTGTTTTCCAATTTCTCTATCAAAAGACTCTCTCTTAGAATTTCTTACCTATTTAACACCAGATTAAACATCATTTAACTACTTGGCACTGGTCAAATGGTTCCTCATTAAACAGATTTTTGGTAACCCTGCCCTCAGTTATATATTAGTCATTCCTGAACACTAAGCTAGATTAGTTCCCCATAAAGCAGCCGTTCTGATAACTGCAAATCAGTTAAGTGGAGTGTTGTATGGGAGATTGTGTTCAACCTACCTATCTCCTCCATTGCTCAGTCTAGGGGGTCTCACTTCATATCCCTAAATGGTTTCAAAATGCTATTGGTGCCGCTCTGGGGCCAGATTTCCAAGTACTCAGCAGCTCCCGTGGCACCACTAGTAGCTGTCCTGTGAAAAAAGCTCAGCTCCAATTGTGTACCAGGAATCTCCCTTGCCTGCTGTTTCCCAAGGACTCCCTGTGATTCCAGGGGCACAAGTCACCACGAAGGCGGGGAGAGGAGAGGAGAGCATGGCCCCAGGCAAAAAAGAGCTGAACCCATGTTGCTCCATCCTAAGGAGTGGTGCAACTTGCAGGCTTCTCCTGGGTGCCTGGGAGCTCCAAGCATTGGGCTTCCCCAAGGCACTATCCCTCCCAACAGTTCCCCTGGGGCAGTGCAGCTGGTACCCTCAGGCTCAGCTGAGCCCACAGTTTCGAATTCTGTAACGTGCTCTGAGGCTCCTGGCAGCTGCGGTGTAAATCAAATCATCACAACAAAATCTGAGTGGGGAGGGGATCCTGGGCTCAGAAGAGGAAGGACAGAGGAAGGGGACGGTTTTAATCTCATCCTTTTGGATCAAGGGGAGGGCTCCATTCGGAGCACACGTTTCTAGGAAAGGCATGAAAGTGAGAGGTGGACCGTTTGCAGGCAATGGCAAGTAACTTCACTTAAGTTCTCCTTAGGCTCTAGAGACTGGGAAAACTTTAAAAAACTTCACCTGCTCTTCGAGCTGCCCTTTGTTTGGCATGCTTGCAGCAGTAACTTTAACCCCTCTGGTATTTGATCAAAGAGGCTGAGAATGTCCACACTTCCTACAGTGTTAGA